TATGCAACAGATAAAGGGTTAATAACCAGAATCTACAAAGAGATCAAGAAACTCCACAAAAACAAAACCAACAACCCACTTAAGAGATGGGCCAAGGACTTCAATAGACATTTTTCAAAAGAGGAAATCCAAATGGCCAACAGGCACATGAAAAAATGTTCAAGGTCACTAGCAATCAGGGACATGCAAATCAAAAGCACAATGAGGTTTCACCTCACCCCGGTTAGAATGGCTCACATACAGAAATCTACCAACAACAGATGCTGGCGAGGATGTGGGGAAAAAGAGACACTAACCCACTGTTGGTGGGAATGCAAACTGGTCAAGCCACTATGGAAATCAGTCTGGAGATTCCTCAGAAATCTGAATATAACCCTACCGTTTGACCCAGCCATCCTACTCCTTGGAATTTACCCAAAGGAGTTTAAATTGATAAACAAACAAGCGGTCTGCACATTAATGTTTATTGCAGCACAATTCACAATAGCCAAGACCTGGAACCAACCTAAATGCCCATCAATGGTAGACTGGATAAAGAAATTATGGGATATGTATTCTTTAGAATACTATACCGCAGTAAGAAACAACGAAATCCAGTCATTTGCAACAAAAAGGAGGAATCTGGAACACATCATGCTGAGTGAAGTAAGCCAGTCCCAAAGGGACAAATACCATATGTTCTCCCTGATCGGTGACAACTGACTGAACACCAAAAAGGAAACCTCCTGAAGTGAAATGGACACTATGAGAAATGGTGTCTTGATCAGCATAGCCCTGACTGCTAATGGACAACTTAATACATTATCCCTCATAGTATTTTTTTTTGTCTGTTCTACTTAATATGACTGGTTTAATTCTGTAATTATCACACAGTTATTCTTAAGTGTTGAAAACTAACTGAAATGTGATCCCTGTTAAACATAAGAGTGGGAATAAGAGAGGGAAGAGATGTATAATTTGGGGCATGCTCGGGCTGACTTGCCCCAATTGGTAGAGTTGGAAACATACCAGGGGATTCCAATTCAATCCCATCAAGGTGGCATGTGTCAATGCTATCTCACTATTCCAAGGGATCAATTTCAGTTCACAATTGATCATAATGAAAGGACTAAGAGTCAAAGGGAGCACATAAACAAGTCTAGTATCTGCTAACACCAACCGATAGAATAAATAAAGGGGAGAGTGATCCAACATGGGAAGTGAGATACTCAGCAGACTCATAGAATGGCGGATGTCCTAAATAGCACTCTGGCCTCAGAATCAGCCCTAAAGGCACTCGGATCTGGCTGAAAAGCCCATGAGAGTATTTCAGGCATGGAAAGCCAAGACACTCTGGCAAAAAGATCTCTGTGAGTGAGATCCCAGTGGAAAGAACAGGTCTTCAAAGAGGGAGGTGCCTTTCTCTGAAGGGAGGTGAGAACCTCCACTTTGACTATGACCGTGTCTAAACAAGATAAGAGTCGGAGAACTCAAGGGGCTTCCATAGCCTTGGAAACTCATGACTGGTGCATAGGGAGATTACTGATGCCATAAACAGGAGTGTCAATTTGTAAAGTCAACAACAGGAGTCACTGTGCACTTACTCCTCATGTAGGATCTCTGTCCTTAATGTGCTGTACACTGAGGCTTAATGCTATAACGAGTACTCAAACAATATATTTCACTTTGTGTTTCTATGGGGGTGCAAACGATTGAAATCTTTACTTAATGTACACTAAACTGATCTTCTGTAAAAAAAAAAAAAAAAAAGAAATTATCAATTCCCAACTTGACTCTCACTGGGATTAAACATGACAATAGGTCTGATCTGATTTCATCATCATTTAAAAAAAATCATCTATTATTTTTCACTTTATGTTTCTGTGTGGGAGCAAACTGTTGAAATCCTTACTTAAGGTATACTAAGCTGATCTTCTGTATATTAAGAGAATCGAAAATGAATCTTGATGTGAATGGAAGGGGAGAGGGAGTGGGAAAGGGGAGGGTTGTGGGTGGGAGGGACGGTATGGGGGGGGAAGCCATTGTAACCCATGAGTCGTACTTTGGAAATTTATATTCATTAAATAAAAGATAAAAAAAAAAAAAGAAAGTAGAGTTTAATGAAAACATCATTTTCCATGTAATCTCTTCCTTTGAAAATACTATTATTAATTCTTAATTTTTCCCAGTGATTTTTCGGGTTTTAGTTGATCTTCAAATACGCTTAAAAATCAAGCAAGTTCAATTTCTTTTGATGGGATCCTAAGTTACAGAATTTTTTCCTTAAAAATTGTAAGTGTTATGTTGTCATGTTGTTTATTAATATAATTTTTAGGATGTCTTTGCACCAATTTTTTGTTAATGATGTTATGTCACCTCTTGACATTTATTGTTGTTGAGATTTATTGGATATCTGGGAGAAGTATAATAGAAAAATTATAACTTCAAATATCGTTAAATATGATATCACAACAAAGCAACCATATCATTTCTCATTTAATTATGGGAGAATTTACATGATTCTAACAATCTAAAGACTAAAATCTGTAACAAATAGAGGACGATTTAAACAAAAAATCCACCTATTTATCAATCAATTGGTTATACAGTAATATATACAATATGCTAACCTTTCTTAACAAGCATAGTTTTCTAAACAAGTTGCTTTCAAAAATATTTTATCAGCCATCATGAACTTTCAGAGCTGTTGTTTGAGGCTGGCAACCTTGGGGATCATTTCACATAGCAAGACGAGAAGAGCCCTGGAAGGAAGAGAGCCCTGAAACTGCTGACTGACAAAGACGGAGAAAAGGTCTCCTGAAGTTACAACCCTTTAAACATGTTGGTTTTGGGGCTGGTGCTGTGGGCACAGTGGGTTAAGCCGCTGCTTGCAATACCAGCATCCCAAATGAACGCCAATTCAAGTTTCAGCTGCTCTGCCTCCTATCTAGCTCCCTGCTAATACGCTTGGGAAGGCAGAGGAAGATGGCCCAAGTGCTTGGTCCCCTGCCACCCATGTTGGAGACCTGAATGGAGTTCTGGGCTCCTGGCTTTGGCAATGGCCCAGGCCTTGTTGTTGCAGACATCTGGGGATTGGGAGTGGAACAGAAAGTGGAGGATCTGCCTGTCTCTCTCTCCCTCTGTGTGCGTGTGCGTGTGTGTGAGAGAGAGAGAGAGAGAGAGAGAGAAGAGAGAGAGAGAGGGAAAGAGGGAGAGAGAGAATCTTTTATTTAAAAAAGGTATTTGTTTACAAGTATGAAGCAGGCAACTCACTAGCTGCAACCAGGAAGCAACGCTGCAAATGACTGTGACTCAGAGTCAGGGCAAATACCATTCTGAAGGGCAGCTGCACACCACCTCCATGGCAGACCCATAATTTGTTTGGTTTAACATCTGTGATAGTGTAAAGTCCTTCATTTGGAATGCAGCTTAGTATTTCAATGGAAGATTATGAAAATGAAAAGCAGTTCATTGCCTACTTGCTGGTCTTTTGTTTTGGGGGTATTTTTGGACTCCAAAGACAAACTCACTAAGGACTATGCTTAAAATAAAAAGTGCGAATTCCTAAAGACCATGGCTGGGTTTCCTTGCCTTAAAGGTGTGGACATGGAGAGCCCACTGGCTGGTGGCTGCCCTGTCACAGAGGAGCTGCTTGACTGCGACTTTCATGTAAGAACTTATTCCGCAGAAGCTCATTTTAGCTGACTTTAAAGGGCTAAATAAGCAGTGGTAGGGCCATAGTGATGAATTACATGCCAAGATTTTCAGTATTTCCTCATGTTATGCTCTACAATGTACTTTCTTAACAATGTCGCTTAAGTGTTCTCTGCTTCATCTTATCTATATAATGGATCTATTCAGTTTAGTCCCTGAGGTCCCAAAGAAGACATTTGTAAAGATCTTAGACTTCTTTGGAAAGAGAGTTGATTTTTTTAATTTCTTGAGAAAATATTTAGAGAGTAATATTGAAATCAAAATCTCTAAATTTTGATCCTCTTAAAAACAGTGTTATAAAGTAAAACAAATTAGTGCATATTTTGTGTGTACATATAAATACGAGTATATTATGTATATGTCTTTTATTCTATTACAAAGTGAAGAATAAAAGTCTTAAATTATGGGCTATCTGGTCTCAATGTTTGTGAGATATAGGTATTTTAAGTAAATTAATTGTTTCCCTACTTTGCAGAATGTTCTGCCTCCCTCCATTGCATTTTGAATGGCATTCATGTGTATTTGTTTTCCTGCAGAAGTAGCAAGACCTGTTTGCAGTTTAAATCCATGACACCCTCTTCATAACAATGCAACATTATCACAACAGTGATGAAGCAAAAGTGCTTTTTTTCCCAGATTACCAGCAATATATTCAATCTAAGGAGAATGAACACACACACACATACACACACACATGCACGCACGCACACATGCACACATACAGCCAATACTCAGAGTCGAGGTTTTTTTCTTCTACTCCCCAACTAATAAAATCAAGAGGCTGCAATGAAGCCGAGCGGCATGCAGTTTGATGTCCTCGGCAGGATACAGGGAGTCAGAAGTGGCGCTGTAAATCCAGCGCGGGACTTCAACACTGTGTGAAGTGTGGCCTGAGTCTCGGAGATTTCCCTTTGATGCAAGTTCAGTATATTAATGGGAAAAGCATTCCCTTTTATTTGTCTGTACTGTCTGCGACAGCAAGGCTGCCTCATTTAGCCTGGGCCAACATGAAAACACACAGGGAAGCAATCTGTTGCAAATTAGCACAACTCCCCTTTCATTTACTAGCTTGTAATTGGAAGGGGTTAAGAAAGTGTAACTGATCAGATTGTGCGAACATATCTGCTTGTGTGGACTGCAAGCTTTCCCTGCATTGCCCTAGGAACCTTGAGGCAATAATCCTTCCTGGGTGTCCACTTGATCCAAAAGAAAACACTGACACGTGTGAAATACGCACTTTGTTAGGTGTGAGCTGGCAGTTTCCTAGTCTCCAGAAAGGTATATGAATGCTTTTCGCAGGATCTTACCTTTCTTTTGATATGTTTTTACTCTCCCGTTTCCAAATTGTCTTGAAGTCACTGCAGAACTCATACCACACCATAAACACGTAGCTGGGGGTGATCTCCTTCTCACCAGACTTGGGCTTCATCCCAAAATATCCTACTGTTGTTTCAAAACTGCATGATACAAGAGAAAAAAAATGCAGGGAGGTAGAGGTTAAGCCACTGTCAACACCAAAACCCACTTGGCTGAGCAGAGGAGACACTGTGGGGAGTCTCTCACATGTGTATTATCTACAAGGAGCTCGACATATACTTACTAGAACTTATCCTAAGCCTCAGAAAACCCGTTTGCTCAAATTTATTTGCCAAGAAATGCAACTTGATTGGGGGATATTCTTGGGCATATCTTATTGGTATATAAAAAAAATAGCATGCATAACTCCAGGGGTGCATGCAAATTAAAATTTGGAGTTTGTTCTTCATCTCAAATCCATTTTCTCTTCATGTTATGTTTGATGATTATAGGTAAGATTAATGACACACTGATTTTGTAGCATTGGCAGTGGTCATTGAGATAGCCCATTGAGAGTTAATTTGTTGGATGTTTCAAGAAAACCAGTTCTATCCTTATTCTGACCTACACTGGCTTCGTAATCCAGGATCAATGGCTCTGCATCTCTCTCAATGTTCTCAAGGGCAAAATAAGACATGTAGATTATATGATCTTTAAGAGGGTTCCATTTGAAAGATTGATATGATACAAGAATAGAAACTACCAACACACAAAGGTAGGCATGATTGTGGGCATAGAAAAGTTTGTATAAAAATCCATCTTGGATCTTGAAAAATGGTCTCCAATCTGATAAGAAAAGAACTTGGGTTTTTCAAAGTAGATTCCCACACTCTACTAAGACCTACCCCAAGGAGCTCACTGCACAACAGATTACCCGGGCCTCCCAAGCAGTCCTTCTTGGAGGCACTAGCTTTGCAGCAATTTATAGCCCTGAACTCAATCTTTCCCTCTCACCCCCACCCACCCTAAGCCTCACAAGCTCATTTGCCATAAGCAAGAACACTTAAATAAATGACCCCTTTTCTAGGGTGTTGGAAACTAATCAAAGCAGGAATGGCTGGCCAGGTTTATTACTCAGTGCTCTATCATCTGTTCAGACACAGTGCATTTTTGTGGCCATCCTGAATACTGAGTTTCTAATGGAACTCTATTCAACAGTGATTGTAAAACTCTGACGCCCTGTTACTATTATGCAGCATACTTTCATCTCCGTCTTGGTTATTGGGCAATATGTATCTCATAAGGTTTTATCACATTTCACAGATGAACTGTTAATTGATTCCATGGCTATGGGTAGGTGAGATCCAAGCTGGAGCTGCAGCTCTGAGTCCCATAAATTCTTTGTGCTTCTGTAAATAATAAATCTGCTTTTAATGCAAATTAAAACTACTGGTCAGGGAATTTTGGCCCCCAGTTATTAAATGACTAGAAGTGCCTAAGTAGAGAAAGGCAACAACTGCAGTGATCTCTTTTAAGGGACTCTCTTATAATTCCAAACATACACATTCTGGAGAAAAGGCAAGAAAAGAGCAAAGTTCACTCTTGCCCCAGGCATAACCCCTAATTCCACGGCAGTCAGAACACTGATAAATACAAATGGCCTCTCTACAGCATGCACCTTTATTTCATCTAAAATGAAAACTAGGCTGAAGGTAGTACATAAGTGGAGGATTATGTAACCTAAAGGAACAGGCCATGGATGTCTATAAAGTCATAGGACTAAAATTCAAAGAGATTTACAGGTTGACCTGTCTAACATTTTCATTGAATGGATGAGGAAACAGAGGCTTGGAAGGACTGAGTGACCTGTGCCTGCCCAGACTCCTTGTGAAATTTTCTTTTTACTCTCCCAGGCTTGATAACACAGGCAGTTAGGAAGTGGCACGATCATTGTCCCCATTTACACTCCAGACCCAATTGCCCTCCGCAGCACACATAACCGGCATCATCACAGGATGACTATTCTCTCTCCTCCTTATGCTCACTTTTCTTGCAGAGCCACAGTTAACTTGCGCATTCACAGAGAAAAAAGTATTCAGAGGGACTGGCGATCTTGTTCCGCAGCAGCGGATGGTGAAGAGCACAGGGTGTCCCTGTCACTGTGCTCCGTCTGTCACCCCAACACCTCTGGCATGCTTTCTAGCCTAGATGGTGAGACCAATACATGGAAAACACTGGTGAGGTGCAGAGCACAACACTGCTGTTTGGTGGTCATCACAGAGCCTGAGAGAAGCATGTCATGGTCCTGGGGGCCTCGCTTTCCCCAGCTCTCAACTGAAGCTAGAAGCCAACCACTACCCTCACTGCCGCGATCCCTCGGGGTTGGCGAGGCCTTGCTTGCTTACCCTCTTTTCCAAGGGGGTGAAAACGAAAAAAATTACTGAATTTCAGCATTTTTCCCTCTCTCTGTTTTGGAAACTAAGAAAGCAAGTGAACCTCTTCAGAAGAAAGAAAGCAAACAGAGTCCCCGAGGATTGCTTGGCTTTGGCATTCTGCAACTTCGACTGAGTCGCTCTGAGGATGTGCCTTGGTTGATTTCCATGTTAGCCCTTTGTTTAGGAAAAAGCCAAAAGCGAGACTGTGAACCTACGACTATCTGATAAGGTCTAGACTACTGTCCTTCCCAGACAAAACCCTCCGCATTTCAAATTCAGGTTTGATTCACAGAAGACTGATTGTTGAAAAGCTTCTGAGACTGGGGCAGGAAAACTGCTGACACTCAGTGACTAGGAGAATTTTCTCCATCAGACAGGAAGAAACACAGGGTCCATCATGCTTTTCAAATTTTCTGTTCATCAGCAGATCGCTCTTAAAGAGCTTTCAACTTAAAAACATCGATTTCTGATCATGCTTTGTTTTCTATAACTTTTTACTTCATTCTTTTTCTCTCTGCCATAATTCCTTGTCTGATTTGTATCTTTTTAATTAGGCCCAACATTTTTAAAAGTACAGATGATGATGATATCAAAGAGCCCATAGCAAAGTGAACTGTTTTACTTTCGTAGTGCTGAGATGCTGAAGTGGAACACATATCCACTTATTGTTTTACATGCGTGCTTTCAGAAACTGCTTAGGAAAAGCAAATATTCCCTAGCCTCAGAGTAAATTGTTTCTCTTGAGAATAAAACATAGGAATTTACTAAATCTCACACGAATATTGCAACACTGACCACAACCTCCTTAAAGAGTGTAACCAAACAACTGTGGTTTCTACATTAAAGATGGGATCAAACATATTTCATGTATGACATGAAAGCTAGACTACCTTCACCACAAAGCCACGGAAAACGCTGACAACCAGAATTTATGACTCCTCTCAGCATAGCTAATGCACAGCAGCAGCTTCAGCCCCTCTAAGGTGGGCCCCCTTTTCCGAAACTCAGGGTCTTGAAAAAGGATTAGAAATCCGACATCCACCTTGGAAGCTGAATTTCGGTTTGGCCTGATCCCAGTGTGTCCTTGTTGATGGTCTCTTCTATACATGCTGAGTATTTCTGTAATGTAACTCACTAGTTTCACTAGTTTATGCACTGAGGAAGGGGAAACCTAAGGCCAACAGTGGGGCACAAAAATCTAAAAGCATAACCAGGTAATTGTCTTACTTTTCAGCGATTTTTTTTATGACACGATAATATCCATGGTTCAAGAACATGTCTGCACATAGAAAACTACGAGATTTGCCTTCCCCTTGCTTTCATCAGCATTTTAATTTTATTGGCAATTACACTGGGAAGCAGACCAAGATGTTGGTACCTGTCAAAGCAGGGCAGACAGCACTGTCTATGGGCTTTCTGAACTCTTGGAAATTGAAGCTAGATTGGAGAAAAATGGCTCATTTCTAGTCTGTTCATTTGTACTTCAATCCTAAGCTGGAAAACTCTTCTCAACCACTGATAGAGCTCATTTCTCTTTAGCTGCTGGTTTCTGCCTCTACCTACTTCTCATTTAATCTTCTAGTACTTTTAGAATTGGTACCAGGAAAATGTTTGAATACAAATGAATACAAACTAAGTCTGCCCTGAATATGAGAATGCCTCGGCGTACTCCCAATCATGCTTGAAACAGGGAGAGTCAAGTTGACTAAAACTCCTAAGAGATCAGAACCATCAATTTTTAGGTTCCACTGAGTGGAGCACGAGGTTCTGCTCTGACATCTATCGAGAGAAGAAGAGCAAGGAAGAGGACTGAAGTGGATGAGAGATTAGACGGAGGATCTCCAAGGTCTCTCTCAACTTCTGGGAGGTTGGGGACTTTCCTTATATAGAGGCCAGTGCCTTCTTCCCACCTGTCCCTTGACTACAATATCCTCTAGGTTCTGAGAAAAGACATAAGTCTCTTAGGTATTTGCAACAATGGTTAGAGTTAGTTCATTGTAATGCTAAGAAAGATTAAAATATACCTAACTTTAGTTCAAGAGTAGAGGCAAATGCATAGAATAGTGTCATGACAGGTATGTAAGGCAGGTGATCTAGTTCTGGGTGATTCCTTGCCTCCTGAGGAAAACCATCCCCAAGTCCATTACAAAACCTACATTCTAGCTCCTGACCGCGTCTTGCTTGTCATGGATGTATCATGGATGTACAGTCTTAACAAAGCCAAAATAATGGCTAGCAGCACAGTAGGAAAGTGAAACAAGCCAGTCACAGAAAGACCAATGCTGCACAACTCTACTTACATGAAGTACCTAGTGTGGCAAAAGTCCAGAGAAAGAAAGCAGGATAGCAGCTGCCAATGGCTGAGGGGAAGGGAAATAGAGTTCGAGTTTAACAGGTACAGAAATTCAGTTGGGGAAGAAGAAAAAGTTCTGGAAATGCATGGTTGCACAGCAATGTGAATGTGCGTAATTCACATAATAATAAAGGATAAAGAATAGCTAATCAAAGAAAGAACTGGGGTCAGAGCAGAGCTACTTACCTTTTCTGTGCATTCTCCAAGTGAGTTTCTTCCATTTTATGCTCCTTTTTAGCTGTAAAAGAGAAATAATTATGACTAACATGATTTTCATCCATCACACCTTTTGGAAAATCTTACAGCTTTGACTCACTCATTATCAAAGTAAGCCTGAATTTAGGAGTTGCAGCCACATGTCCTGGAGAGAGCATTCGATTTGATACAGCTACCACACTGCTTGCCTGAAAACAGCTATGGCTAAAAGTGAAAAAAGAACTGACTATTTCCTTTGGGACACGTTTGAGGACAAAGGGGAGATACTAATAACTGTACCTGGACAAAGATATATATTGGAAAAATCCTGAGCAGATGCACACATGAAGTAACCCTAGAGATAGCTGGTCTCTTTGTGAACCTGGTCCTGTGCTTCCCTCAACTTCTACACACACACACACACACACACACACACACAATCCAGTATCACTTGCTGCAGTTTTGCCTGGATACAAATGAATTCATGAGAATTACTACACATACTTCCTCCACGCTCCAGTCCTGTTGGCAGTCTGGGGAAACCTATGGAATCCTTTCTCAGAATAATGTTTTTACATTCAATGAAAAAACATACATGGTGGGGCAGATATTTGGCATAGAAGTTAAGATACCACTTAGGATGCCCTTATCCCATATCAGAGTACCAGGATTCAAGGCCTGGCTCCATTCCCAATTCCAGTTTCCTACTAATGTGCACCATAGTAATGGGTTCAAGTATTTGAGTTCGTGCCACACACATGGGAGACCCAGACTCTGGACTCTCGGCTTTGGCCTGGCTTATGTTTTGGGCATCTGGGGAATAAACCAGCAGATAGAAGATCATTGTCTCTTTCTTTCTGTCTTTCAAGTAAATCTGAAAAATTTTTAAATTTGGGGCCAGCACTGTGATGTAGTGGGTAAAGCTGCTGCCTGCAGTGCTGGCATCCCATATGGGCACCAGTCCGAGTCCTGGCTACTCCACTTCCAATCAAGCTCTCTGCTATGGCCTGGAAAAGCAGTAGAAGATGGCTCAAGTCCTTGGGCCCCTGCACCTGGAGGGTGCAGCACAGCTCTAGTTGTTGTGGCCATCTGGGGAGTGAACCAGTGGATGGAAGACCTCCCTCTCTCTCTCTCTCTCTGCCTCTGCCTCTCTGTAACTCTGCCTTTAAAATAAATAAATCTTTAAAAAAATGTTTAAACTTAAAAAAAACCACACACAATAACTAAGGAAATCAATGATACTAAGATATAATTCTGAATCTACAGATAAAGAACAATGCTCTGTAGAAATTATTTAATAATTGGCTTCAGTTTTGAGTTTTTTTTTTCAAAGATTTATTTATTTATTTGAAAGGCGGAGATACAGAGAGGCAGAGGAAGAGATAGAGAGAGAGAGAGGTCTTCCATCTGCTGGTTTACTCCCCAGATGGCCACAATGGCTGGAGCTGTACCAATCTGAAGCCAGGTACCAGGAGATTCTTCTGTGTCTCCCATGTGGGTGCAGGGGCCCAAGGACTTAGGCCATCCTCTACTGCTTTCCCAGGCCATAGCAGAGAGCTGGATCAGAAGAGGAGCAGCCAGGACTCAAACTGGCACCCAAATGGGATGCCTGCACTGCAGGCGGCAGTTTTACCTGCTACACTACAGCACCAACCCCTTGAATAGTTCTTTTTCATAGTCTTCTCTAACAGATCATAGTGCTATGGATAATAATACCATTCTTATAGTTTTAAAATGTTTAGGAAAATAGGCAAATTGTAACATAATCTACATAAGCTTTAATATTCCTTTCATTTAAGGTTACAATCACAGAAAAGTAAATGAACCAAAAACTCATATTCACGGTCTTTGTTGTGATACCACATGGAAGTCATTAAAAGACATGAAAACATCTCCACTTTTTAAAAAGATTTATTTATTTATTTGAAAGTCAGAGTTACACACAGAGAGAAGAGGTATATATATATATACAGAGAGGTCTTCCATCTGCTGGTTCGCTCTCTAATTGGCCGCAACAGCCAGAGCTGTGGTGATCCGAAGCCAGGAGCCAGGAGCTTCTTTCAGGTCTTCCCATGCAGGTGCAGCAATCCAAGGTCTTGGGCATCTTCTACTGCTTTCCCAGGCCACAGCAGAGAGCTGGATTGGAAGTGGATTAGCTGGGACTGGAACAGGAGCCCATATGGGATGCCAGTACTGCAGGCAGCAGCTTTACTCACTACACCCCAGCGCCGGCCTGACCATTTTGTTAAGTTTGCCTCTGCCATTCACTTCCTGTGTGACTGTGGCTTAGATATTCATGACCATATAGTTATTGTCTCGTCTGTCCTATGTGAAGAGTCACAGTGACTACAGCCAGGAAGCTGTCATAAAGACTGAATGAGGTACCACATGTAGAGTGCTTAGTACATGATAGGTGTTCAATATTTCACAGGCAGGCATTATCAGTACTCCATCATCATCATCATCTTCATCTTCATCTTCATCTTCATCGATTTTAAAATCTAAGCTTTAACAAGTTGCCTTCTTGCTCACATCTTTCCAAAAGCTTGCCATCAATCTTGGGAGAATAACTCAAGTCTTCATTTTCCCAGAAGACCCTATAAGGCTAGTCCGTGGCTCCTCGGTGATGTCACCTCCACTTCCACCTGCTTGTTCTTTCCTGCCTCGCTAGTAGGCTTGCTGCAGCTTGAGCACAGCAAGCCCATGCACCTGATGATCTCTGCACCTGCAGTTCTTCCCTCCCTGTCCACAGTCTCTGAACCATTGGTTCCCTCACCATTCTCAGGTCTCAACTCAACCACCACCTTCTCTGGCCTCACTAAATAAATGATCATCCTTTATCACTCACCATCCACCCCTGCCCCTCTTGTCTTACCTTTCTTCCCCATAGCCTCTAACTATCTGCCACATATTCCTCTACTCATTGTTTATTGCACAACTGAATGTAAGTGCTAGAAGAGCAATATCTGACTTGCTTTCTGTTATAATCTTAAATGTGGAAAAAAAATCTATGTGTTAAATCAGTTATTTCAGAATAAAAATGTATGTATAAGTTGAGCATACCTAATGCCCAACCTGTAAAGCCTATTCACATATTGCAAAATCTGAAGAACTTTGAAATCTGAAATACATCTGGTTCAAGCATTTTGGATAAAGGACACTCAAATTGTATTGGATAAAGCTTGCTTAAGAAGAGACAGATTGCCTTTCCTAAATGTCTAAATTTATATTTAGAATACAAACAAAAGCTACAGAAGACGATGAGGCTGAGGATACACTATGATGTTTAAATGCAGTAAATTTAAGTGAAGAAAAATTATTTTGTTCTATATGAAAATGATTTGGCTTTCATAAATACACCAATTTAGGTGAAATTAAATCATAGTGATGCCTGTTTTTGCTGTGTGGTTCTCTCCCCAACCCTGAATCCAATACTCATAGCAATAAATTCTGTGAAATAGTCTGTTACTTAGCCAATCAGATACAAAGAAGTTTCTTGTGTCTCTCCTAGGCTACCAAAATGTGAAACAAACGAGTGATTTGTTCTTAATCAGTGATTTTAGACTATGTGCATGGCTAAACAGGAGGGAAAATTCCTTTGAGGCTTGCGTGATCTTCCAGGAGTGTGTTTGCTATTTCCATCACCAGAGGGTTTCTAACTGGCCACTTCCAAGCTGTGCTAAGTAGACTGTGGCCAAGCCGTCACCATGGGTGAAAGTATTGAAAAGAAATACAGTATACAAATGTTAGATAAGATTTTGCCACAGATTTACGAATGTGGTGAGTTGGAAAATCACCCAGATACAAAAGGAGATACTATTAAGGGACAATGCATACTGCAGAATCTATGAGTGCTTAGGGAAAAGAACCTTTAGCAAAATGAGAAGAACCCAGAAATTTCCATTTTGGTAAGTAAAGGGACCATGAACAAATGGAAAAGGGATCAACACTCATGGCATGACTTGGACTCTCCGCCACTCTAAAATATTTCTCCTGCCATAATGTGTGAAACTTCCAACCATGTCATTATACATTTCAAATCTTCAAAATGCCCCATCTAAGAAAAAACAAATGAATTGCCTGGGAAGAAAGTGTTTGGAGCCACAAACTCAAATTCCAATACCATCAACAAGTAAGTTGATTGTGGATCAGAGATTAAAAAAAAAAAAAAAAAAAAAAAAAAAAAACCAAAAAACAAAAAACAGAATTCCAAGATTCTATTATTGGTTTCTTGATACTGGTGACAGTCTTAGAGTGAGTGAGTAAGTGATAGGGAATAGTACGGAAATGGGAAAGCTATGCCTCATTTAAGAAAGGACAGGTACTTGGCCTAGTTACAAGATCTACTTTTTTGACAGGAGCTAGAAAGAGATTTTCCCCTAAAGACAGCTGGGATTGGGCCAGGGCCGAAGCCAGGGTTTGGAACAATCCAGGTCTCCCATTGAGTTGGAAGAACCCAACTGCTGGAGCCACCCACCATCACTGCCTCACAGGATTTGCCTTGGTAGAAAGCTGGCTGGCCGGTGCTGTGGCTCACTTGGCTAATCTTCCACCTGTGGTGCAGGCACACCGGGTTCTAGTCCTGGCCAGGGCGCCAGAATCTGTCCCGGTTGCTCCTCTTCCAGTTCAGCTCTCTGTTGTGGCCTGGGAGGGCAGTGGAGGATAGCCCAAGTGCTTGGGCCCTGCACCCACATGGGAGACCAGGAAGAGGCACCTGGCTCCTGGCTTTGGATCAGTGCAGCGTGCTGGCTGTAGCACGCCAGCCATAGCGGCCATTTGGGGAGTGAACCAATGGAAGGAAGACCTTTCTCTCTGTCTCTCTCTCTCTCACTGTCTAAAAACTCTGCCTGTCAAAAAATAAAAAAAAAAGAAGATTCTGTGTGGCTCAGGGAATTAGGCATGCCTGGGCAGCCAGACCATGCCATACAGCATGCCATATTGGCACCATGCACAAAAAAGGAGAGATAACATTGAAATTAAAGATGGCACGTCTTGGATGGAAACTGTTCTGACCCTAAAAGTTTAACTAGTAGTAGCCCTGAA